GGTATGCTACTTTCTTGGCTAGTGTGACCAACTCCGGTGGGCTCAAGACTGGCTCGTAGCAAAACTTAGGGCCTACCTCCAACCGCTTGCCAACATCCGGTGGAATCGTAACATCACCTAGGATTGTGAACTTGCCCGCCTGGGAGGGAACCTTGTCTTTCTTGGTTGGTAGATGGGGTCTAATGCTTTGCCAGAGGAACTCCGTAGCATCTCCCGCTGACTTGCTCATCCTACGGAAGTATCTTCGTTTTTGTCCATCATTGCCAGTACTCGAAGCACAGGCTACTCGCAGGCAGTCTCTGAAATATCTTTCCTGGCGCCAGTATTCCGATCGCAGCACACGGCATACCCTTCTCGTATGCCCAGTCGATGGAGCAAGGAAGCCGCACACACCTCTGAGTTCCACTGGGCAGGTACCTCTTCGAATGTGCCAAGAGGCCACCCGGGCACTACACACACAACGGGCGATTAGGTTAACAAGGATACATGGATCCGAGAAAGGAAGGTTGAAGCTTACAGGAGAAGTGCCCGATGCAAAAGAAATAAACTGCAGTAAAGTTGACATTTGGGCTAGTTGGTAGTCTAACATATTGAGGTATTTAGCGCACAAGGTAGGAAGAAGAAGGACAAGACAGAAAAGAGCGCTACTCACAACTACGTTTAGTAATAAAAATGGAAGAGAAAGAAAACACCTAAATAATCCGCCGCGGACTCGTGCACCTGCCACAGCCCCGTGAATGATAGCGGCTAGTTCATCCAGGCTCGTGCGGGCCCTTCATTGTTTGTTCAAGGAATTTCCTTTCCTTGTTTGTTAGTGTAACGGATTCAACGCTAATACAGTTCCTGTCCTCGCGAAGGATGTAGAAGGCCTCCAATACCTCGCGGGTCAATTTGTCTTTGTTCTTCCCCAGGATGTTGGTCTCACGGAATAATGGTCTGCATGTGCATTCCCTGCAATGGAGAGGAAGATTTCCGCCCACTGTAGCCTTCAAGGAGTAATCATGCTCCCGGAGGCGGTCATTGAGGCATCTGCCCGTTTGGCCTATGTTCCTACCATGCGCTTCGGGCGTCGTGTATAAGATACCTCTTTCGTGTGGCAAGAGCTACATAGGCCAAACGGGCAGATGCCTCAATGACCGCCTCCGGGAGCATGATTACTCCTTGAAGGCTACAGTGGGCGGAAATCTTCCTCTCCATTGCAGGGAATGCACATGCAGACCATTATTCCGTGAGACCAACATCCTGGGGAAGAACAAAGACAAATTGACCCGCGAGGTATTGGAGGCCTTCTACATCCTTCGCGAGGACAGGAACTGTATTAGCGTTGAATCCGTTACACTAACAAACAAGGAAAGGAAATTCCTTGAACAAACAATGAAGGGCCCGCACGAGCCTGGATGAACTAGCCGCTATCATTCACGGGGCTGTGGCAGGTGCACGAGTCAGCGGCGGATTATTTAGGTGTTTTCTTTCTCTTCCATTTTTATTACTAAACGTAGTTGTGAGTAGCGCTCTTTTCTGTCTTGTCCTTCTTCTTCCTACCTTGTGCGCTAAATACCTCAATATGTTAGACTACCAACTAGCCCAAATGTCAACTTTACTGCAGTTTATTTCTTTTGCATCGGGCACTTCTCCTGTAAGCTTCAACCTTCCTTTCTCGGATCCATGTATCCTTGTTAACCTAATCGCCCGTTGTGTGTGTAGTGCCCGGGTGGCCTCTTGGCACATTCGAAGAGGTACCTGCCCAGTGGAACTCAGAGGTGTGTGCGGCTTCCTTGCTCCATCGACTGGGCATACGAGAAGGGTATGCCGTGTGCTGCGATCGGAATACTGGCGCCAGGAAAGATATTTCAGAGACTGCCTGCGAGTAGCCTGTGCTTCGAGTACTGGCAATGATGGACAAAAACGAAGATACTTCCGTAGGATGAGCAAGTCAGCGGGAGATGCTACGGAGTTCCTCTGGCAAAGCATTAGACCCCATCTACCAACCAAGAAAGACAAGGTTCCCTCCCAGGCGGGCAAGTTCACAATCCTAGGTGATGTTACGATTCCACCGGATGTTGGCAAGCGGTTGGAGGTAGGCCCTAAGTTTTGCTACGAGCCAGTCTTGAGCCCACCGGAGTTGGTCACACTAGCCAAGAAAGTAGCATACCGGACAGTAGAGGAGGACCGACCAAGGTGCATCTCTGAGTGCGTGGATAACCTTCAGGTTCCGCAAAAAAGAGGACCAGTGGGACCGTTTAGGCCCTTGGTAGAATACATGGTCACTAATGGACTACGCGTCCTGTTATCTGATAAGGAAGGACATTTTGTAGTGTTGCCAGATGGCCAGTACAACGAAAAGGCCAGGGCAGCTATTGAGAAAAATTTTAGACCGGTGCAAGTCGCCCTGAAGAAAACCAGAGATAGAGCAAAAAATCTGTGTGAGCGGCTAGCGTTAACCCAGTTAGCCGCAAGAGTTGGGAAAGCAGAGCGCTTACACCTCGAGGTCTTCTTCAGCGTAAAAACACATAAAGAGGCCTGTCCATTTCGAGCCATTGTCACAGAAAAGGGAGCGTGGCAAAAGCAAGTTGCTTTCTATCTTCAAAAACAACTGTCCGCCCTAAGCATTAGAGACCCCTTCAGGGTTGCCAACTCTGAGGAGATAGTGGAATATCTCCGATTAGGGGGTCCTGAGAAGAGAACCGCTTTCAGCATTGACGTGGAGAATCTTTTTTACTCCTTGCCACACGACCAGCTACTGACCTCGGTGAAGGATTGTATAGAAGCTAATGGAGAGCTCGCTTTCCGAAGTTCCAGCGGAGTACCCATTGAGAGCTTTATGGAGCTTCTACAGTTCTACCTGAAGTCTATGATAGTTGGGTGGCGGGATGGGTGCTATCTGCAGAAGTCAGGAGTCTGTATCGGTTCCTGCGTTGCCCCAGTCCTTAGTGACATCTACTTGGGAGCAGTGGACTGTGTGATAGAAAGTGCGCTTGAAGGTAAAAATGTGAACAAGGTCGCCAGGTATGTTGACGACTTCCTGGTAATTCTTCAAGATGACGAACGTATGAACATACAAGTAGCAGACATTATGGAGACCTTTGCTGAGTACGGAGGCGGCCTTAAGTTTACATTTGAGGTGCCCAAAGAAAACATACTTCAGTACCTGGATCTTTCACTCCACCTGGGGGACACCCATGTTTGTTGGTCGTACAGCCCACGTTCCAAGAAAGCCATTCTAGACTACGGCTCGGCGCACTCAAAAATCATCAAGAGGGGCATAGCTCTAACGTGTCTGGGCTCGGCACTAAGGAAGTCTTGTCGCCATACTATGTCAGCCAGCTTCACCACGCAAGTAGAGAGGCTAACAAAAGCCGGCTATTCGTCAGCCCTACTGGTGGATGTGGCGAACGCTCTGGTCAAGAAGGCAAAAGGCTTCCAGTCCAACAAGACCAGTGTCAAGCAAACAAGGCCAGTTGTAATACCGTACCTTCACAGGATGTCCCATAATTTAAAGAACGTCGCAAGCCGCTATGGGGTCAGAGTAGTTTTTTCAGCACCACAAAAAATGAGCCAAATTTGCAATAGAGTGAATGCGCATGCTGAGGGTACCACAAAACCCACGTGCACCAAGAAGCATGCAAACGAATTCCTACCATGCGCTTCGGGCGTCGTGTATAAGATACCTCTTTCGTGTGGCAAGAGCTACATAGGCCAAACGGGCAGATGCCTCAATGACCGCCTCCGGGAGCATGATTACTCCTTGAAGGCTACAGTGGGCGGAAATCTTCCTCTCCATTGCAGGGAATGCACATGCAGACCATTATTCCGTGAGACCAACATCCTGGGGAAGAACAAAGACAAATTGACCCGCGAGGTATTGGAGGCCTTCTACATCCTTCGCGAGGACAGGAACTGTATTAGCGTTGAATCCGTTACACTAACAAACAAGGAAAGGAAATTCCTTGAACAAACAATGAAGGGCCCGCACGAGCCTGGATGAACTAGCCGCTATCATTCACGGGGCTGTGGCAGGTGCACGAGTCCGCGGCGGATTATTTAGGTGTTTTCTTTCTCTTCCATTTTTATTACTAAACGTAGTTGTGAGTAGCGCTCTTTTCTGTCTTGTCCTTCTTCTTCCTACCTTGTGCGCTAAATACCTCAATATGTTAGACTACCAACTAGCCCAAATGTCAACTTTACTGTACCAGCTAACCTGCACCAAGTCTTAAAAGAGTCTGGTGCATGCTGCGCAAGTCAAACCAACACAGTATTGTTTATAATGCAATTAAATGCAGAGGTGCAAGCGAGCTGGGCAAGAACGAAAATAATCCCTGGAGAAGGGGGAACAAAAGGGACCAAGGACAAACAGAAATCTCTGGAGAGGTCCCGGGTTCGATACCCGGACCAGGCAGATTTTTTCGGTCGCGCACCAGTCATTTAGCTGTGTTTGGAGATTTGTGCTTGTCCTTTGTCCCTCTTGTTTCCCTTCTCCAGGGGTTATTTTCGTGGCAGTATTGTTTGCAGTCCTGTCGAGATATTTTCTGTAATGTGCCAAACTGGTTAATTAATAAAGATTAAATGCCTAACCTTTTAATGCAAAAGTTGTAGAGCGTGTTAAGAAACATTTCATTGTGCCGTTTATTTTTTTGAGCCCTAAAGAAAATGTGCGAGATTTTAAAAATCCCACGTGAGTAAGGGCACTACCATCGTAGCTCACTTGCAAGCAATCACGCGGGATTTTTTTTTTAATAAATGCACATAAAATAGGTTACGTATACTGTATAGAGTATATGTGCAAAATATGTAACTTGGAAATAATCTACCACATTTTACATGTCACGAGGAGTGCAGCGGGTGCAATCCGTGAAAAAAGATACCTCCATTTAGTGAGCAAACAGTATACTTTTAAATAGGCACATGTGGATTAATAGATAGTTGAAAAGTGTGCCAGAATTAAGACAATGTTATTATCAGGATCCTGACATGTATTTTAGTTTGATCCCTTTTCCTCGCAGAAACGACGAGCTGTACGAGGAGAAGTCTCAACAGGCGATCGAGGCGTTCTTCTCGCGCCACGACATTGTGCCTTCTCCATGGGAACCCCAGGACCGCAGAACCCGGCTGACACGACGGCTACAGGACTCAGGTCGGGCAACAGCGTGCCTGCGTCATGTAGAGTACACTCTCGGACAGTATAAATAAGTTTTCCTGTTAGCCCGTTTTTTAAAAAAACTGGGAAAACTAAAAAAAAAAACACACACACACACACACAAGTTAAGTTGTCCTTCAATAAGGAACAAGAAAAAAAATAACTTTATGGGAAGAAAATTTTAACTACAGCTCTACTGTGTGTCAACTAGGGTACAACCCGCTCCAAACTGTCCGCGAGGCCGCTGTTTTCTTCGAGAATCGCTACCCTTATCTCGTTTGCTTCTCTTATCAGTATGAGAGTGTTTTACAACTATTTGGGTTGTGTGTATGTTCCCTGGAAGTTAGGGAATCCCATGCCTGTGTCTTATTTTTCTTGAATACGAGCCCCGATAAACCCTAATGTTTTTGGCCGGCGCCAAAAATTTATATTGAAAAAATGCAGTCTGTGGGGAAAAAATACCCCCCCCCCCCCTTCCTAAAACGAACCCCCCAAATTAAAACAAAATAAACTGCGGCAACACTGAACCCGAATTATAAGTGTGAATGACTCTGTCGAAGGATGCCAGCTGCAACTCTTGAGAGGCATGAAGCTGGGCTAACTGCAAAAGAGAACCACTCTTTCTTGCTTCAAAGGTAAAACCAGTGCAGAGACTGTGCTCAGCCCCTGCGCACGCAATCCTCCTTGCCAAACGATAATGCGCGCACGTGCATCCAATCTGTGCATAAGGTGTCCGCCGCCAAGTTGCAAACGCACTTCATGCTTTGGATTTCTCCCTTTCTTAAACCTAGGCCCTGTAGGTAAAATGTGGGATCCCAGTGCCATTTGCAAAACGACTCACTACGATGTCCGAACGGGCAAAAACAGAGATCACCGCATATCGTGCGAATTATGGCCGAATCAAAACGCTACTTTTTTCTTTTTGGCTCGAACGATTAGATGCAGTTCCCCAGCTTCATTGCAGCTTTGTAGCTTTTTTTGGTTGGTTGTGCCTATGGATCAAATTCAATTGTGGCGACTTAACCCGTCGTACCGGGCAATCACACTGTAAAGTACTAAGTTTGGCCATAAAGCGAGCAAAACAACCACAAATGTCGCACCGCGTTCGACATAAATTATGCGACAAACTTGTCATCTCCATGGGGAAGCCTATTCTGCTGACAATTTCCGCCCTTGTTCACGGCGGACTCAAGAGAGACACCACCCGTTCATTCGCGCCATTACGTATCTATTACGTGACTAGGCTTCGGAGAGGCCCTTCGCACGTTGCGGCGAAGCGGGGCACGACGGGATTGTGACAGCGTTTCCCCCAGCATCCACCGATGTCGTTTCTCCGCAGGTAGTGGAGAGAGGTTCTCTCTCCCACCCACCGTAGAGGAAAGGCGTCGTCACAAAACAGGTGAGTCCTCGCTGCCGTGCCCACCGCAGTCAAACTGCTCGTACGTCGTACAGGAGACGCGGTGATTGCTTCAGACGAAACGACTGCAGTATCTGCTGACGCGTTTCATTCACGATGCTTCGAACTAAAGACGGTTCTCGCGCAACAGGTGCGACGGGACAGTGGTACGAGGAGGAGACGCGTGCCTCGCACACTGTCTGCAGACTGTCTTTTGCACAACGTATTGGCAGTGGGACCGCGGCTTCGTAGTGGACGAATGGGCCCCGTTCCACTCGTAAGAAAATGCTCTTAGGTAGACGGTGCGATTATTGCCGGATCGCTGCTTGGTCCACCGTCTGACACACTGCAAACAGGTGCTTGCTCAATCCACGTTCCGTTGCGTACCATTGCGTAGGCGTTCCGTTAAAATATTTGACCGCCATTTTCTGGACTACTGTTTGAATTGTACAGGCAAACCACTTGTGCTGTTACTCCATTTCATTTTAAGACGTCGAAATTTGTCCGTCCATTTGTGTACTTCCCACTAAATTTAGTGCAGAAATTGATGTCATATGATCTGTACACAAATTCGGTTTCCCCGCGGGCAAAATTGCTGTCGCGTGACCGCACGTCACGGCACCTACAGGCCAATTCAGTTTCCCCGCTAAATTTGGCAGGAAAATTGATGTTGTTGCATTACTTATATTTTTATATATATATATTGATGTCTTCTAAAAAAAATTAAAACAATAGTTTTTTTAAGTACTGCATTTCATATGTTGTAGGACTGAAAGTGAAGGTTGCTGTCAACCTTTAGGTATGAGCGTTGCAGAACCTGCAAAGGCAAGCACTGGAATTTCAGTTTCCCTGCCAAACATGTGCACTTGCGCAGTGCAAGCGTTGTTCAGGACAATGTGATCGTAGCTTTGGCTTCGCTTGCACATAATATGATACAAACTAGTACTATAGAGTGTACGGTTCGATCGAGAAAATGAAACCTGGTTTTGCGGCCCGCATAAATAAGCTATACATCGCAGCAAGCTGAAACTCCGTGAGAATGCGACACTAGCGGTGATGATAATATTCAAAAGTTTGAACACATGACGTTACCTGGTTCAAGACATACAAACGAAAAAACAATGTTTTTATGAGCCAGCATTCACCACAACCTAAATTTCATTGAACCAAAATTTGAGACTGTTGGTGCCTGTAGCAATTATGTCAGTGAAAAAAACTTGTCAGCATGGCAGAAAACAGTATTGTCTCAGTTTTCTCACTGAAATAAAGGCTACAGGTGGCCCCAATCTTAAATTACGGTTTGATGATTAGGCTCAGGTGGGCGTCGGCTTATTGAGAAGTTTTTTTTTTATTTTGTATCTTTTGATACAGCTCAAACTTTCGCATTTTATCACCACCGCTAGCGTCACATTCTCACGGAGTTTTCAGCTTTCTGTAATGTGTAGTTTATTTACGCAAGCTGAAAAACCGGGTTTCGTTTTCTCAATGTAACCTGGTAGTACCTTATGGTACATTCTAATATGTGATGCCATTTCCCATTGTTGGGGGTGTCTTTCTTCTTTTTTTTTAGTTTGGAGCCAAACAGATTTGAGCATACCCCCAGACGCGGACATCACGGCCGCCCTTGGTAAGGCTGCTCTAAAACCTTGTTTTGAAGGTGAAACCCAATGGCCTTTTGTCGATCCTTCGTGCAGCCCAGTACTTCACCTTCGATCGCAGCCAAGAACACCAAACGGATTTGAACTGTCCGGCTTCGAATCCAAACAGCACAAGGGACTCCATGAGGCGAAAGCTCTTCTGCAACGCCGTCGAAAATAGGGCTCGCACTCCGGAAAGGTACGGTTTTCCTCTGTTCTTCAGAGACGCCATAGATCGGCGGATCGACAGTCTTGTTTCTGAAGCAGAACGCTTTTATGGGCTGCCTTTCAAGTCTACGGGCAGTTCCAGAGTGCTATTTGGTCATAAAAAAAAGTTGTATAAATTAGCCAATGAATGCAGTGTAACGAAACTTTGCAGAAATTATCTTTAGGTTGTGCCTTTATCATACTTAAGTTTTGTGAGTGAAGGTTCCTAAAAAAAGAAATGCAAGATAAAAAAGAAAAGCTCATTTCCTACGCACGGAAGCAAACTGTCGTGTTGATGCTGGCACTTGCATATGGCACTGCTAGGTACAAAAACTTGGAACCTTTTTAAAAATCAGCACCTGAAAGCAGGTCTAGCAGATTTGACCATCTGTGTTACAATATGTGGTAGCAGCGTGAACCAGACGGTTTGTTTCCTTTTCCAAGCCACTCCACTAGCCCTGCGAGTAGCGTGGATGGGTGCCATTACGGGTGCATTGTGCACATTTCTGACTTTACACGCAAGATCCCTTTTTCAAGTATATTTAGCCTCACCAAAATGATAAGTCTCAAAGGGCAACTACGGTTCATTTTAATATTAAGACAACAATGCCATTCTCTTTAGCATCGCCTTAAGAGACCGCATGCCAAATAGTATGTCGATCTAACTCCGCCTAAAGTTGACAAAAAAGTTGATAAAACTGGCAAACAAAGTTTGAGGTTCACATTACCAAAACATGCCAATCCCAGCTGGCATGTAGCCAGCAGCGCAGTATATACCACCGCGTCGGTGCAGTCCACCCTGCACTATCCATGTCGTGCCCAGGAAGATTTGTTTGCTTGTTTCATACTTTTTCAAGCAAATCCTACTGGCGGTGCTAGCAGTGCACCCATCGTTGGCCATGTGAAGCAAGGAACACGTGAGCAATGAAACTGGGTGCCGCGTGGCATTCGCCACTCGCCACTAGGCACTCCACAGGCGCATTGCGCTTCCTTCTCTGAACCAACCAGATCCTAGCTCCGCGGTGCAGTGAGAAAGTGACGTAGGGATGCCAGGACCGGTTGCTATGGATACTGCCGCGCAGCGCATGTTTTCATCGCTCGTGTGTTCCTTGCCTGATTTGCGGAACGCACATGCGCTCTCGTGCAAGCATGCATCATCGCTGGCAGCGTCTGTCAAGTGCGAGAGCCAGTTTGCGACATTGAGCACGGCACGCTTCCACAAACCCATCGCAACATACCTAAGTGTGGTCTACTGAACTTCACTTTCTACTAATGTTTTCAAAGCAATCCCTTGGGAAAACTTTTTTTTTTTTGTTTCGGCATTAAAACAAGCTGCGCCCACGGCAGTGCAGGCGTCGTCGGGTGTAAGACTGCCGATCGTGCCAGATGACACATTCGCCCTTGCGCCGTGCTGCACCCAGCCACCTTGTACGCGACATCACGATTTGTACCACATATTTAGGGCACGTAGGTGACAACACAGGAGTAATGTCGCCCACCACAGGCAAGGGTTTAGTTTCGGTTCATAGTAAACTTCAAAATAAGATTGCGCAAAAAATACTGCACTTTTTTTAAAGAAATGACATAGACCTGTTCATTATTGCCTCGGGATATACAACCACCCACTAACTCAACTTTCTCGTAATTACTGGAGTTGCCTTTTAAACAAATAAGCAATTTTATTTGGGAATAATCACCGATACATTTTTTCCTTCTCCAATTGCAGGACGGGCAGTCAAAACATGAGCGTCTGTTCAAGTCCCATTCCCCTGGCAGAAGACAAACTGGATCCCTGCATCACGCCTGTTCTGGTAAAGCTTGACTATTGTAACAATGCATTAAAATATTTTGACAGACGAGTAGTAGATAAAACTAAGCACTGAAGAACTAATAGGCTGTTATTAGCTGAAACAGATAAACTGAAGGTATTCATTTGGAATAATTGGTCAAAAGACGACGGCATGAAGTCAAGGGGACAAATAGTAGACATGGATACACAAAACACTCATGCAGATGCAGCGTTTTGTGTCTATATCAGGGGTGGCCAAGCTGCGGCTTGCGAGCCGCATGCGGCTCTTCGCGTGTTAAAGTGTGGCTCGCGGCTCCCTCCCTTACCTAACCCCCTTCCCCCACTCTCCCGCCTCCCTCCCGGCACACGAGCACTTCCCTAAAAAGAAGAGAAATGGAACACGTTTTAAATCGAAAGACAGGTTGCAGTTCGGTGGTCTTGTGCTACTGCTACATTACGTACAGTTGGATTGCTTCTGATGCGGATAGATAGAAAGTAGTTCAACTTTCGTTTACTGCTCTGAACAAAAGTTAGCACCCCGCCCCCCCTCCCGTGGCTCTTAGATGTCTCATGGTTTTGTTTGCAGCTTTTAGGCCGGTCAGCCTGGCCACCCCTGGTCTATATATTCATACTGTTCTTTTCTTATTAAGTATAGTATTTTATTTTTTTGCAACGTGGCAGAGTTTTCAGTCTGACGATGTGTGACCAGAAAGGCTTTAGTAACCAAATGAAGCGGAGAATGTTTTTTGGCCCTGTACCACCAAACCTTTGCCCAGTTTTATGCACCACCGTTTGCTTGTGAGAAAATATTCTCTGAGTATAAATATGCCATATACTTTCCGGTTTTAACAACAAAAAAAAAACACTGATAAACGTCAGTCAATGTTAAAAATACAAGATCAGCTAGAAAGAAAACAAATTAAATGATAAACATCTATTGGTGTTAAAAATACAGAACAGGTTCAAAGCTGAAAAACAGATTTCTGGAAATGTTTGCTCCAGCTAGGAACGTGCATGTCAAAACTCCATCAATACCTCGAGCATAGCCTAATTAGTGGCTCTTGCTTGTGGTTTTTACCGAGCACCCTTCTACTTGCAGCTTAACATGTGCTCGAGTCCCATCGGCCGAGTGCGCTGCAGCGAAGGCAGCACTCCAGACAGCGAGGGCATGCAGTTGTCCCCCATTTGCAGGCAGCGAAGTGTCAGGAACCCTGGTAAGCGTTCACTTGTTTGGGTGGAGTGCTCTCAACTCCAAAAGTGTGTGAATAAAGGCCCGTTCACACTCTTGCAACCGAGTACGACCGAGAGAGACGAAACCGGTTTTTAAGCCTCTTGCGACTTCTTAGGACCAGGCACGCTGCTGCGGAGCTGGTCCCAAGACGTCGTAAGAAGATTAAAAACTGGTCTTGTCTCTCTCGGCCGTACTCGATTGCAAGAGTGTGAACGAGCTTTAACGGTTTGAATCGGATTGTGCTGCATCATTCATGGCTTTCGCAGTGCAAGGAAGAGCCACTCCAAAGTTTCTAGTGCATCCACTTTCCCGGGAAAGTGGGAAAGCAGACACACTGGATTCCTTAGAGTGCAGGGCATACCGGTTCTCCTTGTAGTGTTGAAACTAGTAATACTAACACTGTACCACTTGAATCAATGTGAAATTCTCACACCCCTACTTTCAACGCACCTCTCGTTTCTTTTCTTGTCAGGGACACCCTTACAGCGGAATCTCTTTGGTGTGGAGACGCCCAAGCTTTCATTCATTCGTAAGTGTAACACATTACAATTCAATGTAGCGTACTACTCTTTCTTCATTCCCTTTTTTGTTTTTAGAATAAAATACATTATTTATGGGTACATACAAATTGTGCTGGCCCACTAAAGCAGATCCTGTGTAGGGTCAGACAACCAGCAGAATTTCATATACACACAAAAAGATACACATTCGCGGTTGCCATCAGGTCATCAGTGCCAGAAATGAGGCTAATTGAGTGTCAAAGAGGTGGAGAGCTTCCCGGTGGTTTTTGGCACTGCAACTGCCAAGACATTTTTACAGTGTCTCAAGTAAAGTAGTATCTCTCTTCTCATGGGACAGCCTTAGAGGGTGTAAAAATGTATTAAAAACAAAATCAGAAAAATTGCGGGCTCCTTGCAATGGCCTGTACACAGGCTAAGCACAATCATTCCACCACCATTCAAAATAGCGCATTTACTCGCATAATGAACTGATCTTCGACGATGCTAATCCTTTAAAAGTCGATAATCACGGAGGAAGCGGCTAAGGTCTTTGGAGAGAGAACCTCGGGAGAAACCATCTGATCCCCCAGAGTATGTCACTCGAAAGGCGACGTGCAGAGTTGAGAGGCACTTTGACCTTCGATTTGTTTCATTTTTTTATATAAAAAGTAGTGCTCGTAAGAAAATACGGTTTTCTGTTCTTCGTTTTATAGTTGACACAGATTAATTTCCGCAGTTAATTGGCCAGTCCGAAAATCGTTGCGCTGCCCCTTAACCGAGACAAGCATACATAGCTAGACAATCATGTACCAAGCACTTGTAACTTTTTCCCTGATCTGTTTATCAATGTTTGTAAAACTTGAACAGATTTATTGTAAAAATATTTAAAGGTAGGAGTCCATCAGCTGCTGCTCAAGCTTAAAAAAAATCTAAACATGAGCGCTCTTCTTAACTAATAAAAAGCAGACCCCCTTTTTTATGTTGTGTGTATGGTGGCTTCTGATATTCAAGTTGGAAACCATGCTGAAGAAAGGCTGGTAGTGCCTCAGCTCGAGAGCCATCCTGAAGAAAGACTTCTGGTACTTTCTTCAGCTTGGAAGCCATAAGAAAGAAGCTTCCAGCACTTTTTCCACCTTAAAAGCCATGCTGAAGAAAAACTTCCAGTACTTGATTCAGCTTGGAAGCCATGTTGAAGAGACTTCCGGTACTATAAGCCATGCTGGAGAGACTTCTGGTACTTCAGCTCGGAAGCCACGCTGAAGGGTGTGTCAAACTATCCATTTTCAGGAACGGTCTCGACCGTCACCAGGAGCGGCCGATCGGCGTCGTCCCGAAGGGCTTCCCTCATCCAGTCGATCGGCATCTCCAATGAACAGGACGCGATGGCAACCAGCCCGTGCCGGCCCGCCTTGCCCGACAACCTAGAGTCCAACAAGAGTGACTCGGCATCCTGTTCCAACTCCGACGAGATGGCGACCGGCCCGGACGCCTCGTCGTGCCACGACGAGCTCTTTTGACGCGTGCTCTGCCTAGACCATCTCAACAAAACGGAATGTGGAAGATCTCGTGCCTACGTGGACTCTCATAGAGACGTTTCTTGCCGGCGACCGAAAGCTTTCGAGAATGCAATCCTACATCGCTAGCTTCTACCTCAAGGGGTCCTAAGCCCGGCCCCACACATTTCCGTTTGAAGTGTGACCGACCGCCTTGCAACCATGTACAACAAGAGAACTTGCTGGCACCATCTGTCGGGTATCCCTGGCACACTTCCAACCCGTGTATTGCTAGACTGAAGGTTTGCCAGTATTTGCAGGATCAGGTCTACGCACTATTCATGAGAAACAATCATGTACAACATTGTCAGAATTATTTCACGCACACGGTGGAAGAATGACGCACAAAATACGAGCAAATCGGATGTGTTCCGGGGCCACCCGATAGATGGCGCCAGCACGTTCTCTTAACGTGAGCAGTCGACCACACTCAAACCTTAATGTGCGGACCGGACCTTAAAACGACTCAATTTTACAAGTAGTCGCTCACTGCAACTGCTTCCGGACGTTCTGCCTTTAAATGTTGTTGAGCATCCCGAGCTTTGAGGCAGGACGTGCAATCAAAACGCTGCAGAACAGGCGAGAGGCTCATGTTGAAGGCGGGACAACCGAAACCTTGTCAGTGGTTGCCGTGCCTTTGGCATGTCCTTTGTTCTATAGTAGTGTGGAGAGTACTTAGATTCTAATTGTGCGAGAGGAACTGAAGCACCCCTTTGAACGACTCTGCATGTCTGAGCAAGAAGTTGTGTTAAGTTTTTATTTTCTTTAACCTACGACGAGTCATAATGCCGAAACAAAAAAATAATAAACAAATCGGCAATGGCTAGAGGGGTCTTAGTACTTACCACCATTCCACATGTGCCAAGCTAATTTGAGGCGGAATAACGATCGGTTCCTGAAATGACGAGCGTGCCCGTTGCTTGTCGCATCTTGCTAACGGCCTGTATCCCGAAATGCGATGTTCCAACCGTCCCTCAACTATTTTTGTGTCTGTTCCAGAGCGTTTCATTGCTGCCCACCCAGCCATTCCCAATCACTGCCACAACCATCCCATCTAGAACCATGCATGTTTTAATATGACAAAGCACATTCATGTAATATACCGTGTATAAAGAGGTTTTAAATTGTCAACCTGTACTTGGCATTTTTCTCTACCATCACAGAGGGGGCTTGCAAACTCGTTAGAAATATTACGCTGCCAGTTCAACAAGTGTTCATTGCTAGGTCTGCTAGGTCCTGTGCCAAGCTCTTCAGTTCGAGGTTGTTGTCCTTCTTTGCAATGGTTGCCACGGAGTTCTTCAGCTTGTTTGCGGACGAAGGCGTCAGAACCCAGACTACATCTGCCGCTGCAAAAAAAAAAAGAGAGGGCCAATGTTGAAACTACAAACATTCCACGAGAAGACTGACCACCAAAATTTGTTTGGCGAGATACTGTAGTCCAATCACAGATGTGATCGGATGGTGTCCGATTTTAATTGTAGATGAATGCACTTTCTTTGAATGTTGGCAAGGAAAAAAAAAAAATCTACAATCATTCCTGTACTATTCAAAAGATGGTTGCATAAACATTCCAAGATGTTTTTTTACAACATAATGATTAAACGTTGCATATGGCATGCTCCCCTGTGGCTGCCATATTCGCAACTCCAGCAAACTATAGGGGGCGCGCTGGTCAGGCAGAATGGCAGGCGAAAGGTCGTTTTCGTCAATCAGCACACGGACCACCATAAATTTTCTGCACTGTATTTTAAAATCTGTGTTGCATATGAAAGCAAAACAATTTTTCGACAGTAGAAACATTCTTCTAGTCAGTAGGAATGACATGGTGGAGGTATAAAAATAATTACTGGAAACCGTGTTTGTTTCTATGCTGCCTACGAGAACCAAGCAGCAATAGCAGACGACAGAGTCGAAACGACCTGCTCTTCTGAGCATTGCCGCTACGCGGCATCGATTTCGCTGGAGTCTCCAATAGAATGGCAGGATGTTTTTGGTTTGGAGCAAGCTCCATTTTCAACAACTTTTAGCAAAAGTTAACATCTGTATTGTCTATCTAAGGCCCGGTCAACAACTTTGTCCAATGACATAAAGCTTACACTTCCTAACTCTTGCACCAAGAAACCCTAAGGCCCACTTCAGATGCGGCAATTTTAATGCTAAAACATTAAATGTCTCATGGAGCGAGCCATGCCAAACGGCGCCTTAAATCTCTTCTCCAAGTGAAGCCAGCTCCCAGCTATGAAACCACGCGAAAAGCTAGCCACGGCACCTAAATTCCCTGATCCCAAAGGAGCGGAGTAAAGCTGAGAGATTTTCGGCTTCAATCCCACTGGCTGGCGCGCGTCGACAGGGCTCCCCATTGGCCGCTGCACATCAGTTTCAACGACCGCTCGTCCCATGGCGCTGCGTGTCCGTCAGTGCACCATCAACACTGATTGTCCAAGGTCAGCGCGCGCTGACCAGCGACGAAAAGTATGCAGCAGACGAAATAAGGGAGCGGACGAGCGGCTTGCATGCTTTCGCATTCACAACTCGTTAAAAGTATTTAGGTGTACCTTGAGGCTTTTCTCCCAGTGTTTCGACGTTGCAACACTAGTTTCTCACGCGCAGCAACCGCTAAATTTGAATTGCAACGTTTTGCAAGTGTCATCATTTCAAATTAAAATTAAAGACACAAAGTTATGCATTATTAATGTGACTTTAACCATTAATTACAAATCCAAACCAAGTTAAACCTGATGTCCGGTTATCATCACTACCACAGGAGGGCCACATGAAAATACTGCATCCCCGATTGGCTGCTGCTGCTGCTTCGAACGTCAGAGTTGCTCGCCCGTTACGAGATAGACCCAATCCCAGCAATTCGTCTTGCAGCACGAGGATCTAGGGAACAACTCGCCAGCAACCCTAAAATTGCTGGGAAAAGTGCCCACCTGTGGCGGGCCTAATCAATCGATCACTGATGTAAAGAAAGGCAGAACGAGCACCACCTTTGATCTTCTCCAGTAGGTCTTTCATGAGTAGGAGAGCCTCGCTGGAGAGCGCGGCATACTTGGTCATATCTGGGAAGACATGATCGAAGAATCAAAACATTAGTTTTTCGGACGATTAGTGAGGGTGCACACAGACCTGAGCCACATTTGTGCCAACTTCGTACTAATCCAGAATGTTTTTACGAGTCGTTTTCCACGAGAAAGTCGTCATGAACAATTGACACGCTGGGAGCATTATAGACGTTGAGGTTATGTATACAGCTTATACAGTCGAACCTCATTATAACGAAATAGCATCGGGAACAGAAATTCACTCGCTATATGCGATATTCGTTATAAAAGTACGCAGAAAAATTGAAGTGAACGTTCCCGCAATTGAGACTTTGCAAGAATGTGCACAGCACCGATATATAAAAATGTGCCATCGCAGACCACGAGATGCTTACCTGTCACTAAGCAGCATTAAAAAAATAGATTGGAACATGAGGATATCAATTTGCAACACGAAAAACGACCTTAGCTGGATTCATTATTTTATTTATTTGAAGAAAGGTGTGGTTTTGGGCTGGTGCCTCTTCACCTGGAGCAACCGCGCTGGAGCCAACCGCCGCTCGCACTGAAATCATTGTGCCCTAACAAACACGCCAGAGTGATTGCTTTTGTTTGAAGAAGCTGACCAGATACCGGCAAATTTCGCGCCCTTACGTCCTTAAACCATGAGAACAGCTGTTTCCACATCCGGGTCGAGGCAAGGCCCAAGATTTTTTCGGTCAGTGTTGACGGTGTTGTTTGTATAGCAGTCCTCGATCTTCTTCTTTGTACTCAGGATGATAGATATCGTGCTTGGTGCAAGCTCGAAGTCTGCAGCAATGTCTTTTTTCTTCCGACCGCTGTCAACCGCAGTCAAAACCTTCACTTCGGTCTCCAGAGACACAGCTTTTCGCTTCGTCGCCATTTGCAGCTCCGCTACTATACCTGCTTTCACCTCCAGAACCGTAGTAAAACAAGTCCGGCTCCTCGCGGAGCATTACTAATTTCCCCCTTTATGTGGATAATTAAGACATATGTAGGTGAGTTTTAGATTAGATAAATGTTGTCTTATCAAGAGGTACACCATCCAAACGTCAAAAGCATTGCTTTTTTCTTCGAGGATCAAACCTCGTAAGAACTACTTCACGCAGTGTATGAACAATGCGCAAAACTTGCTTTTTTCTTGATGTGAAAACGGGCATAGTGGCGTAATTGGCGGTTGACTTCAGTCTGTACTTGTCCTTGATGCCTCGCATAGAGGCCAGCAGCGGCGCAACCGCCGTTATTAGCTCGGTTCATAGGTGGCGCTACATCCCGAAACGTGCATTGTTGCACACCAGGTGATCTAAACTTTCTGAATTTTTCGTTTACAAATTTGTATTTTTTTCAACTTTTTAATAACCTTTGTAAAAGTATTTTGTGATGCAAGAAAAGCAGGAATTGCTTCGCTATAACTGATAGCGCGTCAGATTTCACCGTTTCGGTTTTGTCATATAACTAGAACTCCCATTCAAATAAAGCATGACCAACCAAAACTCGTGATTAGTTTGCTATATCTGATAATTTGCTATATCAGTGTTCGTTACGAAGAGGTTTAACTGTATATGAAGTGAGAGCTCCGGCAGGGGTCGAACCTCGGCCTGTGGGGTGACAGATACTATAGTCACTGAGCTGCCAGCACAGTTGGCTCAGAAGGGTAAATGATTTTATTTTAATGCACACGTGCCGACGAAAGCGGCAGGTTTTGGATAAAACAAAAAAAAAACAAAAAAAAAACCTAAAAATACATGAATATTAGAAAAGATAAAATGAATGAACCATCTAGCACAAACTATGCAGAAAGTGGTCATTATCAGCATAATCAAGCCTGTATAATTTTTTTTTCTTTCCATAAAACAGTAGTCTATGCTAATCCTTTTTTTTTTCTTTTTTAATTTGGTTTGTTGACCTATAATTGAAAAAACAAAGAACAGAGTGCCAGAGTATTTACGGCAGTACCTCGATATATCCTCAGTTGATATCTGGGAGGAGCCTCTGACGTGGGGGAGCGTCTAGGTTAGCTCAATGGGTTTGGAAAAAAAATGGGTTTGGAGGTTGAAACTCTCTGCTTACGATTATAGAACGTCCCATGACCTAAAAAAAAAAAAAAAAAGAATGCTGACCTATATTTGAATAAATATAGTAGTCGTTTGCAAGAAATAAATAAACCATCTATAGGCTCCCAAGAGCGCTCCTGGTTGTTACTTTATCCCCGATCCTAAGTCTATTTACTGTGGTCCCTAGAAGAACATATCGAAGGGGCTCTAGCCTAGTATGCCACTGTTTGGCTTCACTACTCGAGAATGTGTGCATGAGCACTAGAACTCGCAACTGCACCACATGAAAAGCAATGAGCACACAGCAAAACCCAACTTCAAGGAGAGAAGTTCTACTCTAACATATGTTAGAGGAGAGCACATCGCAATCTCTCCTTGTTTTCTCGGCACTCATCACTGCGAAGTTATATCCTAGTCGATCTGAACACTCCCAGAATGATGCATTCGTTGCATCTGCTTGAACTGAAGAATTAGTGCCTCTCAAGCTTGCTGATAGGCCAGAGTCGACCATCTTGAAGCCAGAAGAAAAATATTGATGCAGAAACCACTATTGTTGGTTGTTTACGAATTGCGAGAGCATTCGTCTAGGACAACTCCAAGGATGACATCCTAGAGGACTTCATTGACGACGTCTAGGACGATCTCAAGGACGGCCTCTAGAATGACCTGTAGGACAACCTCAAGGGCGACGTCTAGGGCGACCATAAGGACGATGTCAAGGTCGTCCAGTCCTTTAAAGAGGGTGCGAATTTGAAGGACTGTAAGAATGTGAGCTGAAATGGTCTATTGTGCATACCTGCTGGGCATTAGGAGGCCAGAAAGTCCAAGAAATTCGGGGGGGGGGGGGGGGGGGGGGGGGGGGGGGGGGCTACAGAATGCCATCGCATTAAAAGAATGTGTGTACAACGTTCATGCAGGAGCTTTGAACAGAGGCATTCACAGATTGGTGAGCAGGTTTTGTCAGGTTTGCCTGCACAGAGCAGTCGTTTTGAAGCCACCAATTGCAAAGGGC